CTCCCTTCTCTTTTTGCCTTTAATAGCCTTCTGAGTATATACGTTATATACTGATAGACACATTATACACCATGTCTGCTCATTTCACATATGCATAAACTCTTCTCCCTAACTAGGCTGGATCTCTTAGCACTTGGTTTTTAAAAAAGGAATTAAACATTCCAAAGAAGAGCATGAAGCAAGGATATGATAACAACTTGTTGCTAAATAATTGGCTCTTAAAAGAATTCCTAAAAATAGCTTTACCAAATGAAGGGAGATGAAATTCAAATAACTACAGCAATATTATGCTATTCCAGGGAGGCAGCAAAGTCAAAGTGTGGTCCCTGAACCAGAAACATCAGCGTCTTATGGGAACTTGCTAAGAATGCAAATTCTTGGGCCTAATCCAGTCCAATGGCCTCATAAACTCTGGGAATAGGGTCCAATAATTTGTATTTTAACAAACCCTCCAAGTGACTACGACGCATACTCCACTGGTATAATATGACTGCCCAAAGTGCCTTCAGTAGAACTCAAGTCCTGATAGATGCTACATACATACATCAAAGGAATTCGTTCTCCAATTGTGACTACCACATAAGACATGTCCTAGAAATTAAGCACATTAATCCAGAAATACTAATAACCCAACAAAGTTATTTGTTTTACTTTGTTTAACCCAGTGTCTCCTAAGTATGGGAATACTACAACCTTTCAAATTTTCTTCTGCATATACTGTGTATTTACTTCCTGTAGAACACACTTCAGGAACTGCTGGTCTAGTAAAAGGATAAAAGCAAAAATAGCAGAAAAATAATGCTTCCAGTAGCCCTCGCATTATTACTGACTTCTCCTTAGTTTCATTCTCTAAATCTTAGTTTTCTTCAAACAACAAAATGTAAAGTTAACATCTAGTCTCAAATGGACTTACCTTTAACTCTGGACCTACTCCAAGGCTCTTTAAGGCTTCTGCTTGGTGATAAAGTATGTATTGAAAACCTTCACACACATACCAATCCCAGCCTTTTTCTAAAGGACAAACAGCATGTTTTAGACATCTGCATTCCTAATTTACTACAATTCTACTACATAGTTACAATTGGTGTTTTACACATTGCAACTTAAATTTTTTTGTATGCTTAAACAGAGTTTCCATTCTTACATTCTGTTTTTTTCCAATCTGGCAAATTTGTATACAAATGCTAAAACTAAACATTTTATATAATTTATGGAATTTCAAAAATTTTCTACAATTTTCTGAAATATTAACCTATAAGGAAGAAAAATAAATAGCCAATATGTTTTAAAAAGTGAAGTAAGTTTTAAAGATGTATCAATGCCCAGGAGAATCCTAAATGAAAAATACCCAGTCACTGCTTCTACTTTTCTGTTCCAACCAACTTACAAAGGAATGCGCCTGTAACTCAGTGAGTAGGGTGCCAGCCACATACAATGAGGCTGACGGGTTCGAGCCTGGCCTGGGCCTGCTAAACAACAATGACAACTGCAACCAAAAAGAAAAAAAAAAGCCAGGTGTTGTGGAGGGCACCTGTAGTCCCAGCTACTTAGGAGGTTGAGGCAAAAGGAGTCAAGACCGCGGAGCCAAGACCCTTATGTTTTACTCCTCACTGCAGGACAAACACTATAACTCTCATTCTATTTGGTGAATGAAAGAGCCAGTGTCAAGATCTAATTGTCTACTAGGAGTGCAGGAAAGGGCAATAAGAACATTCAAAGAAAATAAACTGTTCAACGGCATTCTGCTTTTCTAGAAATGGTTCTAGAAGGGAGCAACTGAAAGCAAGGGAATTAACACTGATCTCAGACTAAAAACCACGTATGTGCTAGGTATATTAAGTAGGTTGTTTTAGCGAATCCTTAAAATAACCCTAAGAGACTGTGAAGACATCTTTCACAACACACAAACCACCAGGTGAAATAAAGGTAAAGTCCCTCAGACCCTTATTTTTTGTTTTTTTTGAGACAGAGTCTCACTATGTCACCCTCAGTAGAGTGCTGTGGTGTCACAGCT